GAAATGTATCTAACAGCCGCCCTAATGTATAGCCTATCGTTAACTATTAAACAGTTGTTACGTTAAAGCGTCTCTGAGTAAGTCACTTCCGGTGCGCTGTCTCTCCTTCCATCCCGACTCTGTTTGCTCACACACGCGACCGCTCACACGCCCGAACGAAACGGTTTCTGTGTCTAGCCGTGAAGACACAGTGGTGTCAGTCCTGACGAAACCTGGCATTGCGATCTTCGCCGACGCGATGTCGACCCTTCGGTCACGTGGTGCCGAAGTATAGGGAGGCCCTTCGGCATTGTCACATATTTGTCTTATCCGATTTGAACATCGTGTTTATATGAAGTGATATCACGAAAAATACATTTAAAAATAAGTACTTTATAGTCGATTGTTTTTCTTAAATCATTTTCTTTGATTTTAGTTGTGTGAATAATTTTATTTTTCTATTTATAATTGATAATAATTGATAACGAAGCCTAGAACTCTTTTAGTTGTCACTAACTCTACGCAGCCATAATAGATGACAAAGTTTTAAACAGATAAATCAGTTTGACACTTACATTGAAAATTTAGTTTAAACAATTGTATTTTGTTTTATATATATATACAAATTTCGAATGTATACGAGTTTCATTATATAAAATGATGTTAAAAACAATAAAAACAGGGGTAAGACATATTGAAGACATCTGTATATATTTGAAAATTATGGTTGTTGTGATAAACCAGCAACACTTTTTCGAGATTCCACTTTATCTTCTCAAAAAATATTTTCAAACGAAATAAACTTTTCCGTACTGTATATCATAAGCTTTGATTTTTCGTTCATGTACACAAAATTGGTCATACTTGAATGTCTCTATTCCATTTGCAGAATACTAAAGTCTGCTGTAGAGGTACAAGTTCCAGAAAGAATATGTGCAATTTTGTTTATTGTTATCGAACTCGGATCCATTTTCACAATTTGTTGTAACTGTGGATGCAACTCTTCCAGGAGAGACTATTCTTAGTTTCATATATATCAACATCACTCACCAGCAGCAGTCCTCTACTTTAGTATATCAATTGCAATTTTCGCCAAACAAATTCGTGCTTCTGCCAAATACACCTGCTTCAACCAAACAGCAAAGCATAGTACGTTTTGCACCTTCAATTGTTTCAGCTTTGCCAGAATTCAATATTTGAATGACTTAAAAATGAAATTTAAAAAATCAGCCGGTTAGTTGAGTTAATTTATGCATTCTCTTTCACTGACTTATCTACTACTTCCATTTGCTTTGCATGCAAGAATAAAACTTCCAGCTTTGTACCCAAGTGGATAAAGAGCTGAGGAATATTGGAAGACTTTCTCTAAATACTTATTCTTGAGGCTCTTATCAGAAACATTTTTTTCGCTGATTCTTTAAATGCATTTGTTGGAGAAAAGCTAATTCTTATGTTTTTGACTAATTGATAGAGACCGTGAAAACACAAGTGATACTTCCGGATAGAATTTCGAATAATTCGTAACATCCGAATGAGAAAACATTAAAATAGAAAATGGTAAAATAACAGAATCAACACTGTAATCACAGAACATGAACGAAAAAAACGTGAGTAAAAAATTATCAAATTATTTTTCTAATTTAATATTGTACAAAATCTGAACAGCAGTATGATTAGCACAAATCAGTATATATTTTTGACAGTCGGCTATTCACATTTTAATTAGGGTTTATGCAAATAAACACGCTGACAAAAGTGGCATGAAGAATTGTATAAGAAAAATCATAATATGAAACTCTGACAAGAAAACTGAACGTTATTTAACATGTAACTCTACATCTACATCTTCGTTTGGTGGAATGAGCATAAAGAATTTTGAAATAAAGTTAACTATATTTATCTATCATTACTTTACTCGTAATTTCTCAATTGTTTTATGTTTTATGTCTCCATTCTATAACTAATGTCACCTGATTCTATGACAATGACACGCGACATATGGTTAATCTTTGGGAGAACATCTTAAAATCTTCGAAGAGAATTTTTCACTTTAAACCTGAATGCGACGATGTTTTTTCTTAAATACTAGGTAAATTATATTCTGTTCTATTCCAGAATGGTTATACACGTATATTTTACTTATTTATAAAAAGTTTACATACGTAACAGGTTCTAAAATTAAAGGTATTTGTATACTCTTTAGCAGAAGATGGCAGATGCAATTAGGATTGCAACGACATTTACAGAGGTTGGTATTTCCAAAAGTAAATTATAGTAATCTATTCAGTATTAATTTCTTTGGTATAAATGTCTAATAATTTTTTATATTTCCCTATACAGTAGACCCGCCTATAACACGGGTTCCTATAATTACGATTCCTATAAGACGGCGAAAAAATTTCGACGGTATCCATACAAACCTGGTAAAAAAACTCCTATAATTCTGTAAAACGTCATCGGGCAGCCGAACTACTTTCCGCCGTCCAGCGCCACGCTACGGAGAGTTTAGACGAGTAAGATGTTTACTATAGTTTGTACAGTATGTAAATTAGGTACCGTAAGTCTAATACAGTGCTATACTTTTATACATTTCTTGTGAAAGAAACATTTCTTATTCAACGGCCATAAAAATTATTTATATTAATGATGTCTCCGAAGTTCAAGGAAGTTTTCGCAGAAAAATAACTTATCAGAAATCGCGGACGGGTTTGGTGCGTTGCTCCGCGACGAAAACAAGCTTGAGCAATGGCGACGTCGAACGGTGCACACTCGGTAAGTCATCATACAATTTTTTGTTTATAACATAGTTTATACGGATTATTCCCCAAAAAATTATACATATTTTAGAAATGTTGAGTAGAATTAGTCTAGAATCGATTAATTTTATGGAAGAAAACTTTTCAAACAGCTGTAGTCCGTAAACTTCACACGTGTCGAGCTGTGATTGGCAAGGACTCGTAAGAAATCGATTCATAAAGAACGGAACGTATCTACCGTGTTATAGGGGGTCGACTGTAAAATTTTTTTTAGATGCAACTTCGAATGTACTTTCGACTAAAGTAAAAAACTTATGCGAATATGGCAATAAATTTACGAATATCTCCATAGGAGAAATTAAAGTTTATTATTCTGAAATTTCACCATGTTATGGTAAATTTTTCAGTCATATTTACGTTTTATCATATGCAAACGTCATCTTTAGATTTTTAAGCAGATGAAGGAATTAATTATAATAATGTATAAATTAGTATTTTCAAATCATTTAAGTAGCAGATCCTTATATCATGATATTTTCAACACTATATATATTATACAATGTCATATATTATGAAAGAAAGGAATTTTTATATAAGTTTTATGATGAACTTTGCTAGATTTATGTAAGTGCGAAAAATTTTATAAAATCTTTAATATGTTTAGATAATATTTTTATATTTACAAAGTTTCATCGATTCCTAAAGGGTTAATAAGACCCCATTGGGGAGCCCTGTACTGATACAAATCATCGAAATATATGATGGCAATAACTTTTCCAATGAAAATGGGCATTATGAGGCAAAGGGATTTTACACATGTAGGTTGTTTCTTTCCATTGTTCAATATTTTTAAGGGATGTCGTGTTTTCCACTGCTATCAATGGTGAAGAATCTGTTAAGAATTCTTATCGTTCGTTGCAACGTAGTGTTCAAGAACTTCCCTTTTTAGATAACACGGCTCTACCATGTACACAAAGTCGATTTTTCTTAAAATGTCTGCTTTTACTACACATAAATTAAAAATTACTGTAATTTTTTAAACATTTTCTAATGTTTTATTATAAACATTTCAATTCATTTTTCAGAATGTTCACGTTTAAAAACTGGTAAATGTTCGAATGTGTTGACTGGATAGATGAATGTTGTAGAAGTTGGCAAAGAATCTTCAAATATAACATTGGATAATATAGCTAATTATATCAGAAACAGAAATAGTAATATTATAGTAAAGTTAAGAAAATCATATATGTCATTATAATGTTTACAAGTTTCGATCTCTGTGAAATACTTTCTGGTAAAAGGTCCACTCAAAAAGGGGACTGTCATGTGGTTCATGGCGTTTGTAATTTTCAATTTTTCAAATTAAATTAAATGCTTAAAATAATTAGAAAAAATAGACTCTATACAGCAGGAGTGGGCAAGCAAGAGTTCAGTGGGAGCCGAAATGTAGGTTTTGCAAAATGCATGGAAGCAGCAGTTCTGTATTTTTTTTATTCTGTACTGCAGTTCTGTACCGCGATCTTATTATATAATATAAATATAATATAAAACAAATATTGAATTTTTTAATAAACATATTTTCACAAAATTCTGGAAATAAAATTGTAAAAATAATAATATAAGAAATTAACATTTTCATCAAGAGCCGCATTTGCTTATGTCTTCTATATAGTAACTAGAAAATTTCACATTAATTTACTCGTATAACAATGAAGAATGCAATTCCGATAGTAAATTTTTACACCATTACAATTTGTTGTAAAAAAAGTGGATTGTATCAATGCAAATTCTGATAATGTTTTTTTATTTCCTTACACAATTAATTTAAATAAATTCCGTTTTCTATATTAGAAAACAGTACAAGTACAGTACATTCAGGCTAATCTGAATACTTGAATATTTGAACAAATTTAAACCGAACAATTTCTAATATTTTTCTAACTAAAATAAAACACTTGTTAACTGTACACATGCAGCTCGCATGTAAAGTAGCTGTAAGTCACGTGTAGTAAACATTAGTCTACTACTCATTTTTTCTAAGACCCTCTTTTACATGGCAATTCTAACATCCTTTTTTTGCGAATTTTATTTTATATGCTAAAAACATATGAAACAGATAAACGAGGAGCGGTTTTCACTAAAACTCTAATTATTTTCAGATAATTTTCAGAAATATAAAGGGCACTTGAGAAACATTATGGAATAGACAAGACTTATATGAAAACTTTATTATGGGACAATATAGGAAAAAATTTACGTTTAAAGGGATATTGTATAGATTCACTTGTACAGGAAATAAATCATTCAAGAAATCCAATAGGCAATGCTACTAAAATGAAGAATATATTTAAGGAAGTGAACAATGGACATAGAAATGTTTTTATTTCTGGAAAACCAGGTTTTTTCAAATCTGTGTTATGTATGAAGATTGCATACGATGTTTGGACAAATGAAAATTCTTCAGAAAATTACCTTAGTCACTTTGATTTTGTAATTCTCGTTACATTAATGAATGTTGGTGACGAGAGTGTACCAGATGCAGCTCTAGAAGCTATTTGCAGAAAACCAGAAGCAAAGATGAGAAAAAAAACATATTAAAAGCTAATTTAAATTTATTAATTATTTTAGACGAATACGAAAGTAGTTATGAAGAATCTACAATACAGTTTATCAGAAAATATTCGTTTGATATATCCGGTAATATGACGATTCTTCTAACAAATTGTCCTCACGTTTCCGAAGGAATAAGGGAAATTATGCATTCGCAATTTATCCTGGTACGATTTACAGCCAAACAATAAAAAAATATATAAACTCAATGTTCAAACAATCAAAAAACATAATACACAAACTGCATAATACATTCAATTGTTCTTTTACAACGTGTCCATTAATGTTACATATGCTCTGTTGCTTACATTTGAGTAATCAATTAGAAACTTTCGAAAGGAAGACAGATTTGTACATCTAAATATTTGAATTACTTATCAAGAGATTTATAAGAAAGAATGGTAAACGTCAAACTTTAAAAGAAAGAAAGTAATTTTTTACTGAAGATATGTTAGTTAAAATAGGTATATTTATATTTTTGAAAAGCATCTGAGATTAGACGATATAAGTAACTTCCGTTATTCAGAAACAATTCAAACAATTAAAATAGAAGATTTAAAAGAATGTTTTCTCGATAACAAAGAAATTATTTTCTGTTTGAAGTTTTTCGTTCAGTGCTCTGAAAAAAGGGTAAGATGTATTTTGTCTTCGCCCATGAGAACTTTAAACACTTCTTTATTTGCTGTTTATATTTACAAAAATGAAAAGGCGCCATTCTTTTAATGTTACCACGATTATTTCTATGTCACTCCTTCTATATTTACACGCAATAGCAAATGTATTATGTTTTACGTGGGTCTATTTGAAACCGATAGAAATACGAAAATAACTTTAAGCTATTTCAAAAAAACTGTATTTCCGTTACAGTTTGCATCGAAAATATACAAAAAAAAAAAAAAACAAATTATGAATGACAACAACAAAAATTTACCTGTAAATTATCTCGCAGTGTGAGAGTGATGTACTCTCACGATTGTTATTTTATTAAATTACAATTGTTGCACATAAATGTAGAATATTTAACCTTTATCACAATGGTATACATTATATATTTTCCTCCTGGTTTAAATGAGAAGACCAATCCGAATACATTTCAAATAAGTCATTGCAGCTGTTTTCATAACGCGATTTTCTCGTTTTAGTGTTATTGCCGTGATGTCTGGCGATCAGTTT